CAGATTTCTGATGGCGGCGTCGTTGTCGTCGAACCAGTCCTGGTGTTGGCGGGGAGCGCGACCGAGGACGGCGAGAGCCGTCGACTGGACCGTGTTTCGCAGCTGACACCAGCGGTTCTCCACGGAGGCGTTCACACACACACACACACACACACACAGTACTGGCCACAAGAAACAAGCTACCTCCACGGTTGGGAATCTTCCAAGGCACAACTTGAAGTGCATTGCGATAAATTCAATCGCTTACTGTCGTGGGCCCGAATCCCACCGGGGTGCCGCGTTTTTCACAGCTGGGTCAGTATGAAAAATTCAACCGCGTCACATTACGGTAAGGAATGCGTCGGTGTGCCGCCGTGGGGATGTATTCCCCAGCGTTGACCTCTCTTTCCTCCATCAAGTCCCACTCGGTCGTTCGATCCTATCAACTGACTGGTGGTGAAGGCAGGCGTAGTGGCTGACAGTTGGACAGTCCGCTAAATGTGCCGGACACGACCTGGTGACCAAATTAGGGACGTGTTCCTGATGTGCATTTTTGGCATTTGACGTTACGCCTATCACACCGAGGACCATGAAGCGTATCACATCATTTTTTGCCATAAGGGAGTAAATAGAGTTCATATGTGGCCTAGGGGTAAGCGTTGCAGGCAAGTAGGGCAGGGTGCAGTGATGGGGTCCGAAGCGTGCTTTCGACGATGATTTGCATAGAGTCCTGCATGGCTGAATAGGCCCATGTGATGACTTAGTGAGGCGACTGCAACGGGTGTATTTTGGGACACATTACATTGGTTCGTCAGTATCAGTGTGATGGCTCCGCAAGTGCCCGATCAGGCCGACGCGTCATCCAAATGTGCGGTAGCAGTAAGGACAGAATGGAAGTGTGCCCTCTGAGCTGGTGGTGGCAGAGTAGTAAGTGATAACAAAGGACTATTGGAGTGTGTGGTAGTGGGTTCCCCATGACAACATCGCGGTGAATTCCACTTTCGTAGACGCTATGCGACTTAATAGACCTATACGGTGTCCAAACGTTCTGAGGCATGGTAAGCAGATGAGATCCATGCAGCATGCGTATGTTGGGGCTCCAGGCGCTGTTTCTCGGGCGCTTTTGGGATGGGATCGCAAGTGATGAGAAACTGCTGCTGCATTGGGGAAAAGGTATTGACTCGTGACACAGCAGTTGGTGCGTAGATGCCAAAGGAGGCCTATTCTTAACCGAAATGTTCGTTGACAGTGTAGACAGGATAGCAGGGGTTGGGTGCTGGCGTCATTTACCCCGATCATTATGTTCATGCGAATGCCTCTCTTCCCATTTGCAGGAGTTATTCCGTAGTGGGCCAAGCCAGTCCATCATGGGCGAGGTCCGTCCAGGTCCCGGGATTGATTTGTAGGCGTCAGCCACCTTGTCGTGTCGTTAATATGACGAATGTCGGTGGCTAATTGCGGGATTTAGTCAAAATGGGCGATCACTCTCTGGTTATATTTGTTCGAGTACGACCGAATGGCGAGCGTGAGCGTCTTGTAGTCCATAAAATGATGAAGTCACGACCTACAGAAAGTGGGCTAACTCACGGAATGTCAACCGAAATTCCGAAATGCGTTCTCGTTTCGAAAAGATTAATTACTTAGGGTTGTAAAACTAATTAACATGCAGCATAATGCTATGATGATCCAGTTACCTCAGGGTGCTGGCTTTCGAACGAACTTATTTCCGACATGCAAGAAATATACATCGCAAAAATGACCACTGATGTAGCATGCAATTTTCTCATTAATTTTCGGTGTCCCTAAAAGTTCAGTTATATTTCATGGAAAACACGCATAAAAGTATTAATTCTTTCATTTGGTAGAAAAGCACGTCTTCCTTCAATTCTATACTCGAAGGAAGAGTATAATTCGGTTTTAACAACTTTTCTAATTCCCGAATAGTTTTGAATCCAACCTGCTGTTATACTTGCATCCAGGGTTTACGAACTAGAAGCCGTATATTTTCCACGTACGGAAAACCATACACTTCTCTACGATATTAGAGGCGATTATATTGGGTTCATAAAATGTAGCAGTGGACTTAAGCCGTATTGTTAACTTTACAAGCCACATTGGTAAATGCAGAGACATGACTTTCTATGAACGGCCATTTCACGGTGTTAAAAAATCGCACAATTATAAGCGTTTTTGAAACCGAATTATACTCATCCTTCGAGTATAAAATTGAAAGACGTAATTTTCTACCGAATAAATAAAAGAATGAATATTTTTGTGCACGTTTTTACGAAATATAATTGAATAGGTAAGGGCGTCGAAACTCAATGAGAAAAGTGCATGCTACTTAAGTAGCCATTTTTTGCGGAGTAGTTTTTCCGTACAGTCAGGAATAAGTTATGTCGGAAGAAGACAGTCTGTGGTAACTGGATAATTATAGCATTATGCTGGACGGTGATTAGTTTTAAAACCGTACTTAATTAATCTTTTCGAAACGAAAACGCATTTCGAAATTTCGGTTGACATTCCATGAGTTAGCCCACCAACTGTACAGGGCAGTGTCGAAAACGTTTAATGGCCAAAGGTACTACTGCGCGTCTCAATCGGCGAGTTTCTTGGAGAAGGCCAATGGCCGGGTCAAACCAACAATATGTTGCTGAAGGACTGTGCCCACGGCAACGGTTGAAGCCTCAACCACGAGGGACGGCGAAGCTTCGAGAGCGGGATGCGTGAGCATGGTAGCGTCAGCGAGGGAAGCCTTGATTCTCTCGAAAGTAGTAAGTGCCTCACCAGAAAGCTCGAGGAGACCTCTCAGACGGGAAAGCACATTCGTGAGCGGCAGCATAGCGTCAATACCGTTTGGTGGAAACCGGCGTTAAAAGTTGACCATGCCAAGGAAACGTTGCAACCGTCGCTTAGGGGTTGGTGGGGAGAAATCACGAATGGCTTTGAACTTGGGGGGGGGGAGAAGGGGGCTGAGGGGAGCAAAGATTTGGAGTCAACATAATGGCCACGTAATGGGCAACCATTTTGCCAATTCATCTGCCTCTTGCTGATGCGGTTGACGTGAAAAATGTTGATTCGTTCCTCTTAGTCCTCTCAGACATTCACCGCTTTCGCCTCAAACAAAAGCATTGTCGGGAGAACAGTAAAGTAACCCTCAGTTTTGTATCGCGTAGGATACCGCAGTGGTCCCTGACGGGGTGTTTTGGTCGACGACCTGCCTGGTTAGCTTCGGATCTCCTGCATACTTGCCATTTCGTCGATCTAAATGTTCCTTGAAATTGTACTCCCTGCGTACGCGACTTTGTTCAGTGGCGTGAGGCGAGTTTCACTGATACTGAGAGGGGTTCGGTGTGGTCAGCAGATGACGTCGATTAGTGCAGGATCAATGTCTTCTACGTGTTGGCGGTTAGTCTGAGGCTTAAGCGACTTGGGCCAAGGAGTACGCATTCGGACCCCAAATTTCGGTGGGCGCTGCTGTACGTCAAGAACGCTTCGGAAGCCGTCGGCCACATCGCGTCACTTGGGGTTGGAGTTGCACACAGACCGGAGGCAACCATCAGGCGTCAGGAAATGGAACCGAAAAATCCGCCGCCACGAAAAGAAACGTCTGGAGTCGTTAACCGGATCTGGTGCAATTCCGGACCGAACAACTACGTTGGAGAAACCGGATGATCCCTCTGAACGCGAATGGCCGAACATGCTGCAGCAGTGCGGAGAAATGACGCCAACTCTCAAGTTGCGGCTTATTCGACGAGATCCGGCCACATTAAAATTCGTCGAGGCCAAAATTCTCGCTAGAGGTGTTAGTCGCGTGAGTCGGCATCTGCTTGAGTCATCGTTCACGCCCCAGTTTAATAGCAAGCGTAATGACCTTCCTCTTCCATGTTCTGTGCCTAGGCGGAATAATTAGTCACGCGGGAAGAGCTTAGGTGAACACTATTTCCAACGCCAGGATTGGTGGGACAGATGGCCGAGCAATCATCACAACAACATCCGACACGCGTGATGAAAATGTAACGATTAACTACTCGAATGTCAGCCATCGGCCAGTCATCACACCAAGTGCAACGAACCCCGATGAAGGGCGAGGGCCGTGAATTCTCATAGGTATGAGTAGCATGGTGACTGAATCCTATAAATACCGCAGCCACTTGTGCATGAAATAGTCGTATATGTTTTTGTCTCCGATGATGATTTCGAGTGCTTGTGTCTCCTCCTTTACGGGTTAAAATTCATCCGAGATCAATGGGTCGTGGAAGATGGCCTTGGATACTCTCGAAAAGGCCTTTGTGCGACGGATTTTGAGCAGTTTTCTGTCGGTCCGGTAACTTATATATATCCCTCGACGTCCCTCACAGTAGGTGTCCATCAGTATGGCGGAGAACATAAAAACGGATGAGCTCAGAGTGCGTACGCTGCCCTGCTTCACCACACTGGTCACCACAAACGCTTCAGAGCATGCCATATTGTTCGTAACGCCCAATCATGCTGTTGTTTGTCCATTTTGCGATTCGTGTTAATCGCTCCGAAAATCCGAATTTTGGCATTTTTGTCCAGGATCTATCGTGGTTTACGGGTCTAAAGCCTTTGGAAGTACTACTGGCACTTCTTCTTCTACAGTCGGTGGGCCGCAAAGATCTTGTCTTTGAAAGGAAAGAAGGCGTTCACCGGGAGAGGAGATGTCGGCCGTTGTCTACCGACTTCAGTGCAGCTGCAAAATGTGCAACTACGTTGGGGAAACCGGCCGACGACTGCAAACGCGCATGCACGAGCATAAGTCGCCGTGCGAAGGTTGGACCCAAAGTCGGAGAGAGCAACCCATGCCGCCCAAATGGGACACGTCTTCAACTTTGACGCCGTGGAAATTGTGGGCCGAGGTGATGATCATACGGCAAGGCAGGTGCAAGAAGTCTGGATGTCTACCGGCTGTTCTGTCAACCGCCTCATCAATTTGCCTCCCCCCTCTCTGACTTTACGAACCTTCTTGACGGGGCACAGTCACGGCGCAGGACAATCGGAGCCGCCAACTATCGTGCGGTCGACGAAAATGAGCGGGATTCAGGTCACGGTGACACGCGGGTCGGATGCAGCCACACAGGTGGCATTGGTGGGCCAGGCATCAAACAAAGTGCGGCATACAAGGAGAGCTGGGTGCATGACTTCTCAGTCTCTGAAGATGGATAGAAGGAACGACTATTCGAAACGTCAGGCCTCCAATACACCTCTCCCAGTGAACGCCTCCTTTTCTTTTCATATGCCACCTGGGAATCGCATTTTCACTACTATTGATCTTGTCTTTGGTTCTGCGGAGTTTTCAAAATCCACTGTGCGTCTCTGGAAGAAGTCCCTGCTTCAGATGCGTGCTCAGGCGATTGAGTAGCACACGAACTAGGATTTTATCTGCGATGTTGCGGAGGGAGCTGCCTCTGTAACTACTGTAGGTTAGTTGATTCCACTTGCGTCTATAAATGTGCACGGAAGTGGCTGCCTTCGAAGTCCTGGGTGATGCGTCCTTGTCGCAACATCTGGGACAGCAAGTTAAGCGCTTCCATGATTATTGGGCCTCCCTGCTTGTAGACTTCGGCTAGGTTTGTGTCGGCTTCCAACACTTTTATACTGGGTAGAAGTTACACTGCTCTGACTATCACAGGGTAGGAAGGGGGGTGATCTAATTCATCGTTGGTGTCCACATGAAGTCGCTTGATAGTTTCTTTGCATACTGTGGACGGGTAGTTGAGAACACCCTGAACGTAGTCGAGATAGTCATAATTTCACAGCAACTTCCATCACCCGACCTCAAAACACCAACTCGCCTGCCAATCCTTATCACTATAATCCGCGACTCATCCGTATAATCTTATCTGTTCCATTGGGACGAAAGCCAAATGCACATTCATATAACCCTGTAGAATATATAGGGGACCAGCTCTCAACGGACGGAATTACTATCGCTAGGCTATTAAAGCCAATCGCATAAGAACGAGCATATGAACCACAAGTTGGTGGTGTGTGTATTTCTTGTACTTGTCCATAAGCATACTTATCACACTAAAACGGAGCACTCTGCGTCGCTACAATCTAAGCTAAGTACATTCATTGACGGTTTTCGTTCAGCCACCGTGTATTTGGTGTTCTTATTGCGCTGCATTCAAACAATCTACATAGAGTAGATGTACTAACTCATGAAATGTCAATCAAAATTTTGAGATGCGTTCTCGTTTCGAAAAGATAAATTAAGTTGTGTTGTAAAACTAATCATAATGCAGCATAAATCTAAAATGGTCCAGTTACCTCAGGGTGTCGGCTTTCGAAAGAACTTATTTTCGGCTGCATGCAACATCCATACTCTGCAAAAAATGACTGCTTAAGTAGTATGCAATTTTCTCATTGATTTTCGATGCCCTTGAAAATTCAATTATATTTCATGGAAAACATTCTTTTACTTATTCGGAAGAAAAACACGTCTTCTTCCAATTTCATACTCAAAAGATGAGTATAATTCGTTTTTTAAAAGCTTTTCTAATTCCCGAATAATTTTGAACCCGACCTGCTGTTACGCTTGCATTCACGGTTTCAAAACTACAAGCTGTATATTTTCCGTGTACGAAAACCACGCATTTCTCTACGGGGTTAAAAGGAGACCATATGAGGTTCATAAAATTAAGCAGTAGATATGAGCAATATTATTAACTTTACAAGCCACATTCGTAAATGCAGATACATGACGTTTTATGAACGGCCATTTAACGGTATTAAAAAATCTCATAATTAGACACTTTTTTAAAACCGAATTATACTCTTCTTTTGAGTATGAAATTGGATGAAGACGTGATTTTCTACCGAATAAGTAAAAGAATAAATATCTGTATGCATGTTTTCCATGAAATATAATTGAATTTTCAAGAGCATCGAAAATCAGTGAGAAAATTGCATAATACTTAAGCAGTCATTTTTTGCAGAGTATGGATCTTGCATGCAGCCGAAAATAAGTTCTTTCGAAAGCCGACACCCTGAAGTAACTGGATCATTATAGATTTATGCTGCATCATGATTAGTTTTACAACACTACTTAATTTATCTTTTCGAAAGGAGAACGCATTTCGAAATTTTGGTTGACATTTCATGAGTTAGCACATCTACATATGAAGTATATGTTAAAGATTGTAGTCCACTTTTGCGTTTCAAGGCGGAGAATGCGGACTGACTATTAAGCATGCGTTACGATAGCCTTCTCGTGATCTGGAAAAGTTATTGCAACAGAACGACGGCTATCCGGAATCTGCAGATGATCACCCCCTGCATCATATCTTTTAAATTATCGAGCAACGGTAGTTCTGGGTTCATTTAGACGCCGGAATATCTCTTGATTTACCTGCCTTCGACATACGTACCGCATACGATGCTTCCCTTTCCCTTTTCGAGGGCACCGAAAGAGTAACTGTCCGTGGAGGGAACAAAGCACAGCTCCCTTAACCTGGACGGGCTCTTCAGTGCGCACCATTGGCTATCGCTACGTGCTGAACCCCCACGCCCCCTATGTGGGACATAATTGCTCTTTTAGGGTAATTTGAGCCATCCAGTGGGACAGTCGGTGAATTCACTTCTTTGGCTAACAGTGCAGATGACTGCCTAAGCATAAAGGCGTCTCGTTTCTTATGGTAGCTAAGCGGCGTCCTTTCATCTGTCTTGCGCTTACAATATTAACGCAAACAGCCTAGACTGGCTCTTTTGCTTTTTACCGACTCGACATGCCGAGACTTGGTCTAGAAAGGCTCACTTTTTGCGAAGTGTGTGGAGAGTATCACAAACCGATTTCACCGTATAAAATCCACTTAATGAAGACAGAAATCCGTTGTCAGCATAATAATCTCTTTGTGGGATTATCCTTTCGAGGTGAAACCCTGAGCAGATAGTCAGGGCAAAGGCGCACGAAAAATTTCATCCCAGATTCAATAGTCTGCAAACTTCCTGATATATTTTCCGTCCGCCAGCTTCACTTTATCAGATGTATAGACAAGCGGATTTTTAAAAACGCTTTTACCCGCGTCAGTGTGTGCTACGTGCTGGAAGTTTGGACACAACGGGATTAATGCAGTTGTGGGCATTTGTACTTCCGCCTGAAAAAGGCACCCCCAATTAAGAAATTCTTTACTGAAAATTCAAAATCAGCCATTTAGACCAGCACAAACGGCCACGTCTACCGTGCTCCCCACAGCATATTCGGCGCTGCACGGTGATTGGAGCACGACTTGATTCGCGCACGATGAATCATGTTTCCGCAGGCATGGAAGGCTACCAACTGTCGGGGTAACTCGATTCTCTAGGGACGGACAGTCGGGTCGCAATGCCCCCGTTCTTAAATTGATGCAATCGAGACGATCACTTATTATTATTTTGAAATCCAGTGCCAGGGAAGTATTCGTAGCCTTGCCCAGTAGATAAACATATGTATCCCGAAGGGGCAGAGGAAAAAGCCTCGTGTCGCAAAAAAACAATTCAACCTTACAAAGGCACCAAGATCACGACTTCTTACGTTTTTTACAACTGAATATCCAAGCCCTCATAACGATGGCATAATATGGAAAATGTAAGGTGGCCCAGCATGTTTATTAGCTACAACAGTCCAAACATGTGGCTGTGCCATACAGCAACTAAAAAAATCTGTTTATTTTGAATTAAACTGTTCCGTTTGCCAGTTAACACCCCTTCTCCTGGCAAATATTTTAGAAAATACTACGTGCGATTTCCAACGCAGATTCATGCGAGCTTACAATATCCTCACCAGGAAACAGTGAAACCCTATATATCCGGCAAAGGCTTTTTTGATGATTTTCCCCAACCAAAGTCGTATTACAGGCAAATAACACACTTTTTTAACACAACGCGCCCCATTTGAAGATGAAAGGTGCACAGTTAACCTTGCTATATGCAACAAGTATCTGGTTTCTTTAATATATTTTAAAGGCGTCTTGTCAGAATCACATGGATAGTGCTTTAAACGAACAAGATAGTAAACGCTTGGGGAAATCTGAAAACAAAACCTGTTCAGCTGCTTCGGCCGTAGACTTAAGAATGCTCCAACAACGAGATTGCGAAATTTTAAGTTTTATTGAGTAGTAATTCGGCCAGAGTCGTGCTGATGAAGTTTTACCGCAGTGATTGTGGAATGGGTGGCGAATCTTGAAGTCGTAAACACTCCGTCTAATTGATCAGGTCCAGATTTAGAGGACTTCTATGATCACGTTCAGGAATCCTATAAAAAGAATTTGATCTGTGACTCTCCTACAGAAAAAAATGTCACATACATAGTTTATCAGCTGAAGGAATCAGCCGATTTTCTGTCTCTAAGTTTCAGGGTGAGGCTATAGTTTCTTATGGATTAAAACGGATGGATGAGATAAAAGAGACGGGGAACTTATATCGTGAGCGACAAGCCATCAACTCATCAAACCGAAAAGGTTAGAGACTGAAAAATCGCAGTTTTATGGCCGGCCCAATTAACACCATGAAAATGACTTCACACGCTAGCCATAATAATCGACGCAACTTCCAAAATTCCCATCACTTTCTCGATAATCTCTAGTTAATATCGACGGCAGTCTGTCAGACGAAAGTTGTATCCCCGAGACGACCGGATTGTCCTCAGCTGGGACGCGACGGAAGCCAGACAAAAAGCAGCGAAGGCCAGTCAGTTGGTTCTTTGCATTAGAGGAACATATTAATTGATCATCGCCACCCTCCTCCTCCTCCTCCTCCTCCCTAAATTGGACCTGGAGGTAGGCAAGGCTGATCATAAGGCCGGGAGTCTGGCAGTCGACTGGGATTTCAAGATATATCGGGAAATTGGGTCCTAGTAAAACCCCAGAAAAGTCGGCAATCACGATGACCTGTTCATAGGAGAGCCAACTCGAAGCTGAGAAACCGCTGATCAAACATCTGAAAAATCAAATTGTTATCGACCGTAAGAATGCATGAGGTCGTCAACCATCGGTGTGCGCCAGAGTTGCCGAGGGCTTTGGCTTCAGCGACACAGTACCACAGACACAGGCATCAAGTGCGACGGCTGGTAGTGCCTTCAACAATCTGGGATGATGCATTAACGGCGCCACCCTGCTATAGGTTCGGATCGTTGACGCCTGGTCCGAACTGAGAGACAACCATGTGGTAGAACTCGGTTCTTAGGATATCTGGGTGTGTTTCACTTGCTAAACCCTGCTGACACGGAAGTTGTAGCTGTCCGCATTTAACTGGGAAAATTCAATACAACCAGCAGAGTTTAGGGGCTAGGTTACGGTGTTAACACACATCTGGGTATCCTGTGCAAGGTTGATACTACCGTTTTGACGGTCCCCAAAGTGGACTGAGCTGTTATTACCGCGT